GCTGCATCTTTCCTCATTGAAAATACTAGATAGTGCCAAGTACACTAATGGCCACTTTCTGAAAGCTCTTTTCAGCTTTTACACCTGAAGCTTTTTATTCTTTTACCTTTCTCTATTACGATTCTCACATTGTGCCAGGGAAATATCTTTTATTTTTCCACTGGTCTCAGTTACAGCTGTTAATTCAGTTGGATTTGAACTGAGTTCTGTTAAGCAGAACTATAACATAACCAAGGTTGTTTGCAGCAGTGTGCAGGCTCTACATTGTAGTAGTTGGAATGGATTAAAGACACATAATGTGTTTAAAATGGATGTATACATAGACATAGATAACTTTGGTTTAATTTACTCTTCATTTTAGTGGATAATTCTGGAGTTCTCTGCAGCATTTAGTTCAATGACCAGCCTGCCAAGGATGAAGCACTGCTGTAGAGGTATGCAAAAGCAACAACACATACTCACAGATCTGAAGAGGCAGGAAAATCACAAATACTGTAAATGCAAAGTGTAAAGTCATTAAATGGATACTGGGTTCAGCTGAAACTGAAGAGATAGGGACTTGGATGACCATAACTTCAGTAGAGTCAGAGGGCCTCCATTCCTTTATTCTTGGAATAAACATTGTCCTGACTCCGTATTTGGAAGATTACTTAATGAAATTCTTAACTCTACAATACGCTGTCAAATTTCATTACATTTTATAACAAAAAAAGGCAGGAATGAAAGTAAGGATTTATTTCAGAATAAATAAGCAGAAACATGGGTGCAAATTCGCAATGCACATTAAAAACTCCTCTGCCCAGACAGGTGCACATGACGGCACGTTTGCTCAAAATTTGTTCTAACTGATTCTGATCCTAAGGAGCCAGGCAGAGCAAGCACGTTACTAACACTGTGCAGCCTTACCTTTACTGTCTGGATGGATGTTTGTAACCTGCTCTGGAAGTCTCTTGTACAGCATAACGTACAACTTCTTGGAGGTGAATAAACTGATACTTAGGGTGTGGCAAGAGTGACCCACCCAGTCAAATAGTTATTCATTGTTAATTTACTGTTCTACACGCTGGCTCCATGCCCACATGTTCCCACTGCAGGCAAGCTCTCAGTATTGTATAGTTGTGTAGATGTCAGCATTTTTATATCACAAGAAAGCTATAATTTGATCTTTAGAGTGAGAGAGAGAACAAGTATCAAGTACTCTTCATAAAATCTGATTATCTTTTTCCTGCTTCACAGAACTGTGGCATTTTTCTTATCCAGTTTGATCTATCTTCCAAGGTCCATGTGGTGCTATGACGCCAGTGGTATTGTCCCCCAATAAGCTTTATGTAAACAGAAGAGTTTATGGCTCGAGTTCATTTACCTTCTTCACAGGGTTCTGCATGTCTGTCTGGAACCCTGAGAGCCTAGCGCAAGACAGAGGCCTCCAGCGCTCAGCTAACCTGAGGACAGTCTCGCTGGTCACGCGCTCTCCAAAAGCACAGTTGGGGCTGGACACACAGAGCTACATGGAGATGGAAAGAATCTTAGCTAGGGCCTTGCTCAGCCAGTTGTGCTAAGCAGCTGTAAAGATTCTCACTGCCCATCAGTGCAGCAAGTATAAAACTCCCTGGGTAACTGTTTGAAAGCAAATGGTTGCTCAGGGCTCTCGCTGTTTGCTTCTAAGGGCAGGCTTGTTATAAAAATGTTTAAATTAATGTGCCATCCTGTGGACACTGGGTTAATGCCTGAACTTAGCATTTCTTGCCGCATCATCCATTCACTACATCATAAGCTCTGATTAGTCACTTTTTCTCAGTGTTTCAGCTTTCTCACGTGTGAAACAGACTTGATGATACTGAATCTGTGTATGACTAAAATTACTAGGGGGTTTGCCTCTGTTAATGGCATAGACTTTACACTGTTTTAGCTTAACTGGTATCTACTTAGCTTTGCTATCGCAATAAGAACTGAGGCTTCTATGATGTGCAACCACTTGATTGTTTTCCATGCTGATGCTGTTTTCTTTATATAGATAGGGCCAGATAGATCTGGGTCCAGCTGATAAAAGTTTCCTTTTCAGTTGTCTGCTCCTGCACGATTGGTCATTGAGTTCAGCAATCTTGGGATTAAGCTGAAGGAGTTTTAGTTAAAAAAATAAGTGTCAAATATGGTTGTGGGACAGTCATTTTACAGACACTTTTAAATCAAAAGTGCAAAGGAAACACGGGCAGTGAAACAAGTTTCTCCATTCATTCCCTGAATGTTACGTATTTGTAATTGATACAGAAACCCACAGCTTTGTACTTTTCTCCCACACTCCTGTGTCTTGAATGCTAATCACAGGACACGGAGAATGTTCACAGAGGGAAGGTATATGGCTGTCTTCTATTTCAAGTATGGAGACATCCTTTTAATTGCACGCAGACAGCAGATGGTATGGCTTTTGTGGCATCATGAACTCCAGCACAATATAGTCAGCCGCTGCACAGCATGGTACAATTTAAAGCTGAGTAAATATGGGGAAAGTGAAGGGTTAGGGGTGGGAAAGCAGTAATTCCTAGGACATTTGTTCCATTTTTATTTTACAAATTGGCCATGATTTTGTTATGCTTCACTCTTGTTCACTTTCTGCATCTGTTCTAGAAAGTGCCTTTCTGCCAGCAACCCAAACAAATACTATTAAAAGGATTGTTATCAACTTCAAAAACCACATCTCCATTTGAAAGTTCTTTTTCTTTCATAAGATGTAAGATTTTGAGGTTACTTTCTCTCAGACTTCAGAAGTAGTAGCTAAAATAAAACCCAGAAATAATATAAATTCACAACTAACAAACACAAGGTTAAGCTTTTTTCCAGTCCACAGGTATAATATCTCACAAAACTGACTTGCAATTTTCTGAAGCTTTTTCTAGTCAGAAAATTCTTTTCCATTAGAAGTCTCTTTCTCGCCCGATTGAGACTTTTCACCCATCAGTCAGTCAGTTATTCTGGAATCTCTCTCATTTTTCCCCTGTAAGGAAAAGTTTTGAAACGGCAAAAATTTTCCTGAGACAGGAACTGTTTTCCCATTCAAACCTCATATGCCCTGCATATTCTGAAATTGGTTTAAAGGCTGTATAACTTAAGGACAGCAGAGGCTTTGCATCAAAGAAAGCAGCTTAGTAAGTAAAATAAAAAATTAATACAAGTTGCAACATACCCTGACAAGCAATATGTTTTTAAATATATAGGTATATGTAGCAAATATATTTAAGTTTAATAAAACCTTAACACCCCTCCCTGCCCCCTGACAAATACTAATTTAAGGAGTTATTGTACACACTAGTATGCTGTGGCAAAACAGTTGGGTATAGGCTGTCTTATTTCTATCTCCTCTTGAATATAATGCTGTTATGACATAATCTACATCCAGTTCTGAATCTGTGAGGCTACATCACGATGCAGCCAGTATGTGACCATACGAGAGCAGACCCGTAGGAGGCAGGATTCACTAAGAGGCACCACCATTCCAGCTCAGCAGAACAGCTTGCGAACCACACTGCACTCCCCAACGTGCAGGATTCAGAGCACAGGCTGAGGGAGCGTACAACTGTCTGTGTGAACTCAAAGACAATGGTATTGGTAATAAAAATGTTAGATGTAGCAATGCTTCTAATTCATGTAGTTTTACAGTAATGGTATACCATGATTTATGATATTTAACATTTTACTGAAGTTTCATCCCATTACTGAAGTTTGTCTCATTCGCTGACGGAGCAGAGTATGGACAAGTCTATTAATTAGAAATACAGAAATGGTTACATAGAATATATTAATTTGAAAGTATACCCCAGAGAGCAGTGGTGAAGTTTAGTGGACCTTTGTTTTCTATGCTTTTCATTACCCATCCTATGTTCCTGTTCTTCTGCTCGGTTTCTTGACTCTAAATAGACATGTTCTTGCATTAGCATGTGGGATTAAATTAATTGCATTTAAGAAATGGAACTCACTTTGCATACAGTGAAACTGGATGAACGTTGTTATATATTTCTCCAAACTTTTATAAAACCAGGGGAAAACAGATTTTCTGTTCCTTCCCAAATTTATTACTTTAATGAAATAAAATAAAATTCCAATCTGTGACACCATTTTCATGTAAATTCTAGGAGTGTTTTTCTTCAGATTAAAAATTGTTGGTCTGTATCCTCAGTCAGTGGAGCTATGCCAAGACACAAGCACATGGGAATTTCCTACCCATCTGTGTGGCAATGGATTCATTAGGCACTGGACATCTCCTGTATGCATCCTAAATTGCCCAGCACTCCCTGACTTTTAACATAGGGTTACCTTAAATAAATCAGAGCTCTGCTTTTCCAAGTATATTTTTTGTACTTTGTGCAAACACTTGCAAAGCGATTCAAAGCACTATTTGGCTCTTGATACTAAATAAGGTATGGGAATATGGTGCCACGGACTAGTCTAATGTACTTTACATTCAAGTAGTGTGAAATATTTAATAATCCATTTTTCTGTGTGGAGGTAAGGTAAGATAGGTGCAGTAATTTACCCAGAATCATGTCATTGCCCATATCCTACCAGAATTACTTAGGTATCTGTGCAGCTTGTTTCTTATTTTCCTATTTTAACTAATATAGGGTTAGCAAGGCTGTGACCTCAAGACACTGCTTTGAAGCCATTTTCTCCCTGTTTATTATAACATATTTTACCATTATTCTATCCTGAATGCAAAATCAGTGGAATCTTGAAAGTAAAAATATATCACTTTTTTAAAATATGCACTAAAACAAAAACTGAGCTTTTGTCCTTGACTTCTGCTGATCTTCTGATTATTGTAAAGGATGTATAATTGAATTATAACCTTGATTTTCATATGGGTCAATGGCATCCATGCTAGTGACTCATATAGGTCATAAAAGTGTATTTCCAAAGGGTGTGGGTAGAGGTGGGCTGAACAGCTTGGGCTGCTTTATAAAAACGAGGGCCTGAAGGCATCTGCACTTACCCATTCTTTGTACTCTGCTCTACCAGCAGCACCACTGGGGCAACATGGCATTTGCAGGCAAATACGAATTCGAAGGCGATGAGAACTATGATGACTTTGTGAAGAAGCTTGGTAAGTGTCTTGGGGTGTAAGTCTTGAAGGTTATAAATTAGTTAAAAATTAGTTTAGAAAAGCTTATTTACTGAAATGTGCTGAGATCACCAGGGGCTAACACTGCTAGGAGTGCTCTGCATTTCAGCAAGGAGCTTCAGTTTTCATTCTCCTAAGCAGCACTGTCAGCTGCAGGAGACAGTCCTGCTCTACAGAAGTACTATTCCTTTTCAGTGGCAGCAGAATGAAGGCCCAAGGTGTTTCAGTATGATGATTGTGAAGGTCCTTTTTTCTGTCCTTAATATTCATCAGTGGGAATATAAATTTGGTATGAAAATGCTTGTCAAAATCTTACACAGGAACAGGTTTCTGGGCAGGCTTTCAGAAGGCTGTGCAGACCTGTTTCAGAGATTACCCTGTAAAAGCTCTTAGGGGCACTATGATCTGCAAGCATAAGTTCAGTGCTTGTGTTCATTTATTTAAAAAACACTAGCAAATAGTAAATAGGTATGTGCAGCTATATAGCACAGGCACAAATTCATACATATTAAATTCCACACATTAAGTAGAAGGGAATATTTATATATACTTTGTGTCTATACATTTATTCTGAGTATTATTTCTCTGGGTAAAGAATGCAAGACCAAAATTTATTATTTTAGTAAATGCATTGATATATCTATATCTTCCTTTATACCAGTAATTTACCAGTAAAATACCTTTATACTCAGAGCTTTGATACTGCTGTAAAAAAACAAAACCAAAACAACAACAAACCAACAAATCGGATGCTCAGGCATCAATGTCTGAGAACAAACATACCCATTAGCATGCTTCAATTCAAATACAGCTGGTAAGCTATTAGATTTGATAAACTGTACGTTTCTATTGATTAAGGTCTCCCTGGTGACAAGATTGAAATGGGAAGGAATTGCAAAATAGTCACAGAGGTGGTGCAGAATGGAAATGACTTCACCTGGACACAGCATTTCCCAGGAGGCCGCACCACGACCAACACATTCACAATTGACAAGGAAGCAGACATGGAGACAATGGGTGGTAAAAAGTTCAAGGTAAATTAATTTAGCTCTTAAGTTTTACACTGTCTCAACTGTTCTTTTAATTTAGGGTGAAAATCCAGTCTGTCTCAGGGGCATCTTCCTTAAATGTTTTTTTTTTTTCATCTGTCACAGCTTAGAAACATAAAATTTTTTCCCCATTTCTTGATGCGCCTAGTAAAATATCTAAATCTGATTTTAAAGACAGCTAGAGCTTCAGAACTGTACATACTAGTAAAGAATGAGGGTAGAGTGTCTAGCATGTACTGGTGTCGCAGCTCAAGTAACCATAATGCTCATTAAAACTCTGAAGAGCTGTTTGGCAGCTGTGTCATTGTCCAGCACCATACAGCAACTGCAGCGCACTCTGAGGGGAGTGCTGTGCTCCCTAGCTTTGCCTGTGGCTGTTGGCAGTGCTCACCTTTTGAAGTCACCTGTGCCTGAGCCTTAAACAAAAGGCTGTGTAAAGTGAAGGGGAAAAAAAAAAAAAATCCCTGTATCCTCCTTCCTGTTGGAAGGACAGAGCAACTTGCAACTTAAGCAGCCTCTAGTCAGATAGAAGATTACACAGTATTGATCTGCTCCTGTCATGGACAAAATCCAGATACAAAACCTGCTGTAAAATGCTTGCTTTACTTACCTTGTTCACTTCTCATCTATTTAAAGGGATAAGACGGTTTGGGACAGCTAAACTCTGCATTTGTGAGATGTCCCAAACCCTACACTGGTTAAATGCTTTATACATAATGAAGAGACAGGAAAACCAGCAGTTGCATCAGGGATCTGTGACAAACTGAGAACAGCAATAGCATTGATTGATTTACAAAATGCTTTTCCAAATATGAGAGGAAAAAACCCCGTATCTTTGGCTTTGAGAAATCTTTGTGAAACCTAACAGATAGAATAAGACACAATTCTGCTTGGTCAATTTATTGCAAACTTAATTTTGAAATAATATAAATTCTGTTCTCTTCTTTTTGGCCCTGGGCACTTCAGCAGTCCAAAGCCTATTAAGTAGCCAAAGATGGAGGTAGAATAAATGACTCTCAGCACAGAAACTGTTGCCTTTAGTATAGTGTCACTAAACAATGTGTAAACTAGTAAAATGGTTTCCTTGTATCTGGTAAAAAGTGTTCACTCATCTCTTCATTTTGCAATTTACTTTTTTCTCTTCTAAATATGACTGGCTCATCTGTCTATTACTAAAAGCAGAGGCGAGACTGACCAGTTACACAGACAAGACTTTTTTGTGATGGAACTATGTATCTGGTTTAGGCGGTCAGCTGAGCTGCTGCAGTATTTGGGATCTTCATAGTAGCATCCTGGCATACTTCTTCCGTACAGAAGCAGCTCTTAGAGTAATTGGCACATTATAGTATAAATGTGTGACTGCAGAATGTGCAGTCTTATATACTTATATATTTAAATGAGCAAGATGAATTCTAGTGTAGTTAGAGGTATGAAACTCAGGATCTAGGGTAAAGAGTCACATCATTTGTCCACAGTGACTTTTGTGCTCCTTGCAGGCAGGTTATTAGCATCTGGGAAAGTAACTTCAAAACTAACTCCTACAAAATGCCTTTACTTCACTGTCACAACAAGAGAACCGCTTAAAGCCTTCAGGACTGAATGAGAACCATAGTCTGTAGTCAGATCATGTTTAAAGCTATGAATGAACATTGTGTAGATATGGAATTGCATGTATAGTTAGCTAACATTTCCCTTTAAACTGTGAACATTTAAGAACTAAAGCACAAGGATTTTAGTCTTGTTCATGAAGCTACATGTGTAATACACAACTTCTACTTTTTTTAAAAGTAAATACTTTAAGCATCAGGTGTACAGATGTTTACAATGTATCTGATAATAAAAATGTCAGTAACCCCAGGGAACATTAAACCTTTCTCTATTACAGGCAACTGTTAAAATGGAAGATGGGAAAATAGTAGCTGATTTTCCCAACTATCATCATACTGCAGAGATTTGTGGAGGAAAGCTAGTAGAGGTGAGTTCTCAAATATCCAGGTTAGTTTGTAAAAACCAACCAAACAAAACCCTTAAGAGCAGCAGGCTTAAAATTTTGAGTTTAGAAAAAATCTTTAGATACAGTAAAGCAAAACTCTTAAATAACTTTCTCCTTCACTCTAGATAATCTTCTACAATTTTGTACAGGATTAATCCAAAAATTAAGTGAACAAACTTTTCATCATATATTTCCAATAAACTTGAAATGTAGCTCTTGCATCTTGGGCACAGACACACAGTTTTATAGCTGTAAGACTGGAATGTCCAGACTGAAATATTACCAAGCTGCCATGTCTTTGTATTCACTGTGCCTATGCCTCAAGGATAGAAAATAATATATATAAAACTTTTCACCTGCTACTTACATGTTTCTATAAAGTTATTAACTTTGTTTCATTCTTAGAAAACTATCTAGCTGCGACTCTCAGAATTTCTGTAGAACCCTATTTCTGTAGTCTTACCAAAGGAAAAAAAAACAAAAAAAAAAACCACACAACCACAACAACAAAACAAAGTAAAACACACAAGAGGCTACATTTCAATTGGTATCCTATTTTATCAACAAAATGGCAACACAGCTTTGGAAGATTACTGAAACTACAATGATTATAGTAAAACAGATTTGATTGTCAAACATCATGATCTCTGGTTCTCAAAAATTTTCCTGAATTGACTTATGTCTGTGCCACTTACATACATATGAGTGGATCTTCCACAGAGACTAACGAGAAGTTACTCTGTGAATCAAGAAAGGACACTCACCCTCCCTGAAAGCAATAGTGTTGATTGTTTACTGCTTTTGGAGAACAACCATCTCACTTGTCTAAAACCTTGATAACTTGGAGAGCTGGTGAAGCCACATCTAACACAGGATACATTTCAGTTATCCCTAAACCCCTGTTTAGAAGTTGTGCTTTTTGTGGAAAAATATTTTTACACTGTGTATTTCAGACTTGACAAGGACATTTGGTTTATTTTCTAAATATCTCTTCTTCCAAAGGGTAAATGTTACTTCAGTAAAGGACAGGTTCTGTGAGCCAGTCAGCTGGTCTTTTCATTTGTGACACTGAAGCTCTAATTACACTGTTCAACCAATTATTTGGTTTGTTCTTTATTCCAGATTTCTACTGCTTCTGGTGTAGTCTACAAAAGGACCAGCAAAAGGATTGCTTAAGGCAGTAAGCCAGTCTCTTCCAGTACACTGAAAAACAATACAAATAAATAAGAGTGCTGATTGTCTTTCCCTCTCTCTTTCTTTGTATTACAAACATGAAGAACTGTTTTTCAGACTAGTGTTATCCTCAACATTAATGCTTACCCCATTCCTAAAGATTTGACAAATACTCAGAAAATCAGAACGCAAAAATGAGAAGATGCAACAGAACACTTAATGATGCCGTCCAGTCTAAGTATTTCAGGGTATGATACATACTTGGAATATTCAAATGTTGTTTACCACCTACTTAATAGAAGCTCTATTCAGTTTCTGTCTAGAGAACAGGACAATACTCTGCCCAAAGTGTACATCAAAATGCAAGACCTGATGAAAGTCTTTTGCCCTATCGCTGGTTGGAGGCCAAAAATTTAGGAGCTTGAAAAAAAGAGAAAGTAATTTTATCACTCATTAAAAGATATGCTTTCATACTGCTATCATGGTTTTCTCATTCTCATCAGTATCTCCTCTTGACCCAAATTCTTAGAAGACATTTATGCTTTTACAGTCAGACTCACACAGGAAAATGTGGAGTCTTATTTTCTCAGTTCAATCCTGTTATTGACACAGAATGCATGTGAAAACCTGTTTTCTTGAACACAGTATGAATTAAATATAGCACAGTTTTTGGCTTCACTGTTTCAAATCACTTCTGGCCAATACCTGGTCCACAAAACTTTTCCCTTTTCAGGCTCCTCTTCTGAGCTGCCTTGCCTTCTGGATCCACCTAGCTGCTTGCCCTCAACAAGCTAATCAGTAACTAGCCAGGGCCTGTGTCTTGTGTACACAAAAATTTACTTTCTGATGGGCCTATGTACATGAGTACATGTATAGTCACAATCATTTTGGATATCTTGCATTAGAAAAAAGGCTTTTAATTCCTTTTTATATTTTTCTTCAATAGAGATTACTAAGCTTTCCAGCTGCAACAAGGCTTTATCCAGACTCCATCCGTTTACCCAAAACAGGCTGCACATGTCTTATCACCAGGTGTTGCTCAATGTGTTACTTATTCTGTTTCCAAGGCAAAGCATAATGCTGAACTCTAATTAAATACAAGTCGAATCTGAAACCTGTTCAATCTTGAGACATTCTTCTGGTATTTGCAATGAAGAGATCTACTGATTTAATATAATTTTGCTGAAATTCAGCCTCTTTAGTTTTATGAGGTCACACTGACACATAATAAAGGATCTCTTCAGGATTACTCCTCATTTGAGTTCATCAGCTAGTACATTCGTCTGCAAATAATAATGTGACATCTTAGAACATCTGGATTTAGAATGTGCCCATCATACTCAACACAACCAATTATACAGAATGACCTGTAGAGTTAGGCATAGGAAGACATTAGGCAAGTGTTATATGAAACTAAAGCTCATACTAGAATTGAGGGATGGGGGTGTTTTGTCTGAACCAATTACATGCACAAGAACCTGCTCTGAAGGAGATGATACTGATAACTGAGGATTCCTTGCTTTGAAAACAAAATGGAACAAACCACTACTAATTCCAGTTCTAGAAGCAACTACATTTAGTGCTGTGCATTTTGTTTTCACATTCTGCATGGGATCAAGTAACTCCCCATTGTACAGACAACAATGCTTTGAAAGGAAGGGTGGCATTTTCATCTAGGCTCTCTAGAACACATGTAAGGAGTGCTTCTAGATAGGAAAAAAAAGCACTGCTACCTTTTCAACTGGAGGACATTCTTTAGGCTCGCCTTGAAGTGGCAGTATAGAGAGCAAAGTAACCACGCCTTGGAAAAAAACAAACAAAAACCAAAACCCCCACACTTGTGCAAAATTATCACCAAGAATCCATCAGTGTTTGGCCCACATTTGCTAGTATCTAGATTTCTCGGCAAAAAATAGAACTAAGCTAATTTTTAAGCAGCACCTGTACACTTTACTGATAAGTTGATTATGCTTATCAAAGAGCATTCTATCAACTTTAAATTGTTTGCTACACTCTGTAAAACTTGCTAAAACAAAAGGATAGTGACTTAGCCACAACTTGGTGTTTGCAAAGTTGTCATTCCCACAAATAGGGTAAGGGTAGTAGTTTCCTGTGTAAAAAAGCAGCAAGCTGCAGCTGTAAGATTTTTTAAAATAAGTTCATTTTAACCTATGATGCCTGATCAACATTAGCAGACTCTTTTCCACCTGTGTCCCTGCTGCAGCTCTTGTCAGGACTCGGTTTTTTAATTTTAGTATCAGCTTTCTCATTTGTTTGGTTACATCTCCAACATCCTCCCTTGTAAGGAGGTAACTAGTGCCATACCCCATTTTGTATTCCTAGCCATGTTTCACTGCATTTGAAGTAAGAAAAGCTGCTGCAAAAGCAAAGTCTGCCAGGGAAGTATGAGTTAATCAGCATGTAAAAATTCTCATCTATGACTAACGCTGCAACTGACAGCAAACAGCACAAGCACAGGGTGAGAAGTTTTGCACCCATTTGTTCAAAAGTGAACTCAACTTTACATGCACATCTGCAGCTCTCTCCAAAAGTAATTGTGGCAAAAAGTCTTCAGAAAAGCATCTTTAGGTTGGGTGAACTCTGCTACATTCGGTTTTCCTGAGGAGGTATGTTTTCACAAAAGAAAACAAAACAATTACAGTCACATGAAAAAGTATTTACGTAGAAATTAAATGTGTAACTGCCATCAATCAAAGCAGTATTAGGCCAACTCAGAAATCATTTCCCTTTCAGAGTCTGCTGTTGGACTTAACCTTCCCCAACTCAATCCATGATACAATGGCACAAACAGAACCTAGAGGTCAATGGACAATTCCTGCTTAGAAGACTGAGTCACCAGAAGAAAGACTGAATGTACAACTGCATTCTCCTATTCAGCCTTTCAGTCTCCTCAGGTAAGATGGCACCTGCAAGACACACTAGCCCTGTAACCTGGAACAATCTTTCCTTATTTTATGTCCCTACTTTGTCTCTGCACATTTTCTGCCTTTCTTGTGCACTGACCAAATTCCTGATCTGCCTAATCCTTCACAATTTATTATTTGGCAAGGCCTTTCCATCACATTTGTCCTAGCACTGCTCTGTTCTGCAAAACATTACAAGTGGTCAGACCAAGTATTTTTAATGTATAGACATATATTCTTTGCTAGCTCTTAAAAGCTAAAGAGAAACCACACACACAAAAAAAGAGAGTACTTCAGCTGTGTGCTTATTTAATGAAACTTAGCAATTATTTTCACAGTTAAGCACAATGGTGGTCCAAAGTATAACACTACACATGACAAATTATAAGGGTGATAAAAAAACCCTGAAAAAATACACTGAAGTCTCCTGGAAATAAAGTTTAATATAAATATAAAGCCAACAGAGTAAAAGATTAACTAAGTTCTTTAAACTTCTAGACTCATTTCTGAAGAGAACTACCTCTTCATCTACAGTTTGCATTTATTTTGTAAAAATAAACCAAGAACATTCCTCTAGCCTGCTGAATAGAAGAAATTAACTTGATACCAAAAGTTGCATTCTCGGAAGACAAACACACATTAACATACAGGCTAGTTTTCCCCCTCCACCCTAAAACACCCTTAAAAACAACTCTCTAAAAATATAATTTAAAATAGCACTGACACGTGACTTGAAAAAATTGCCCCAAGTCAGTAAAAGCATATTGCACATCACTTGTATTGCTGTCCTGAGAACCTTCAGAGAAGAGACAAACCAAGAGTGTACTGCCTTTAAACAAATTTACAATAGTGGTTGCAAATATCCAAACTAAAGTTCCACATTTGCAGAAGTCCATTTCTTGTAAATATCTACATTAACATAAAAAAGCCTATACAGTTTTTTTGAACCATCATCCCTGGTTTCCGCTGAGAAGGAAACCTTTGGATATGTGACAGTAGGTGTGTGTCTCATTGCAAAGAAGCAACAGAATGGTCAATTTACCAGCTACATTTTCCAAAAGAATGCCAAGGTGGTATTTTAAAAAAAAAAAACAACCCTAAGTCAGCATGGTCCAGCACTGCAATAAAATTCTAAGTTCACAGTAAAGCCAACCAGTTCCCTATCTTTGCCCCCATTAACACCAGTTCCTCTGTCCTAAGCCTGAACTACTGCCACAAGTCATTGAGCCCAAAAGAGGAAGGCAATGAACCTCTCCAGAGTTTTACCAAGACGATTTCTTCAAGTAACATTAAATCCCTGATAAAGCTCATTAACAACTTTACTAACAATAATCTGCAATCTCAAAAGCAGCAATCGGTTAAAGATCTAAGAAATTATTTAAGGTTTTGTTTTGAAAAATACTTGAAGGCAGAGTGATGTTCCGTTCAGCAGCACCACGTTTAAATTCCAAGAGAATTTTAAGTCAAAAATTATTTGATAGCCTTCTGGCCCATTTTTCTTTCTTTTTCATTTTATTCTGAAATCTTACTCCTGAACTATCACTCCTGCTCAAAGAAAATAGGAAGTGTTCTACACAGATTCCAGCATAAAGGAAGTTCACATTTAACTGATACCAATTTCAGTATATTTTAGTAGAAGCTTCCAGTAGTACAAGCTGAAATTGTTCAAGCAACACATCACTGGAGAGAAGGAGAGCACTCCGTGTTTTCCAACAACATCCTCTAGGTACATTGTTGCTTGGCCAGAAATTCAAACACTCCAGCCTGAACTCTTCCACACAAGCTTTCAGCCAACTCTGATGAGTCACTAACTGAAGACTAGAAAGAAGTACTCTCCACAGGGTTTCTACACAGATGCCTCTCAAAGTGACACCGAGTGAGGTATATTAATGAATTTCTATTTCTCTTTCTCATCAAGAGCCAAAGGTACAACCCTTGGCAGAAAGGCACCCAGGTTCCAGTGATCAGTGGATCCGGATCAATGTCCTCTGAATGAGCAAGCCATAAAGAATCTGTTCCTTCATGATTTTCATTCAGATGCAAATCTTGTATCACACACAGGGTCTCCTCTTCAGCTTCTATTCACATCACCTTT